TCAAGCCTGCGCAAAGTCAATTACTCATCCATTCTTCTCTTCTGGACATCTTGCCAGGCCTTTTCTCAAGCTCATGCAACGTTAATTATTCATCCCTATGCTCATAGTATCCTTCTCTTTTGTACATTTTTTCTTCGGTAGATGACACACCTTCCCCCGCTTCAAAACACGATGTCCCCATCGCGTGACTAGTTCTCACTCGGAGGTACGCAGACCTTTGGCCCACCAACCGCAGTCAAGGACACAAGCCCGTCCGCTTCACAAAAGGAAGAATCATCAGCTCCTCCCCAGCGAATGACGCCTCATCCTCCTACTCGGTCCGACCTTTCTTTTCTTACGTGGCGAGCACCAATACTGAGGTTTCTCCTCACGTCTGGCAAACAGGTCCAATCCAAGCCTTTCAATGCCTCGTCTAGCCGTACAAACGTTCCTTGCGAATCGTTCCTCCCGAGTGGTAATTTTCTGGATCCGGCCTCTTCCTTTCAAGAGAGTTGGGGCTCTCAATTAGTCCACGAGTGCAGTTACGAAGACCTCGCAATTAGTCCCGAAGCGGTTGTAATGCTCCGGCGGGGCGGTGTCAATGCCCCGTGGTGGTTGTGGCTTCCACCCGGTACCACGCCCAATTCCTCCCTCTGGACAATGCTGCTCAACTTAACGAGAGCGGCCGTGGTCCATTCCAAGCGGCCGTGCCGCCCCTCAACGACATAGCGTGTGGTTGGGGAGAACAAAGGAGATTAGAAAAAGAATGACTCTCTCGCCCATTTGGTTCTCTCACCCTTTGACGTTTAGGCGTTCAACACGAGGCGCAACTTAAACTTCCCGACTAGAGCTCGTTGTCGGTGTCCGTTCCGGACGTCCCGCACCGATCCAAGTGGTAGGTGCCTTGGTCCTTTAACCCTCATCCCCTTACAAGAGGAACAGGTCGCGCTGAGACTTTTTCCCTTACAGGGATAGAGGTCTTGGGGTCGCGGTGCGAACACCGGTATCCCTCTCCTGCGGAGGCCAAAAACTAGAAAAAGAAAAAAATTCATTTCAAGGCTATTTCCAAGTCCATTTCAAGTTGCCTAGGGTCCCCTGCCTATGCAATGCAATATTCAATCCTCAATCATTCAATCCAATGCTATTTCCAAGGCTGATTCTCATGGCTGGTCCGACAGCCTCTCATCAACAAGGCCACCCACATGGCCGGTCTCGCGGTCATTCTCTCAATAGCCATTTCTCAAGACTGACCCTTCCGCCCATTCAATCCTCAATTTTCTCATTCCTCAACACCCAATCTCTGTAACCGTCCTAACAGTCCCTGCCCCTCTTGGCTTTAAGGTTCCGCCTCTTTTATTTTGTCCTTTTCATTCATGTCTTTCTCCCGCCCCCTTGGCAATTTCAGCGGCCGACCCACCGGCCTTTTCCATTTCCTCCATTCATCTCATTGGCTATTTCAACGACCGACCCACCGGCCTTTTCCACCTCTCTCATCCATCCTTTGACTATTTCAATGACCGACCCACCGGCCTTTCCCATCTCTTATTGCTTTTTCCAGCATAATCTCAATCAACCTTCCTCAATCAACCTTTCTCAATCCAATATGCAGGGGACCCCAGTGCCTATTTCAAAAGGAATGACCCTTGTCAGGGGCCATTCCCGAACAACCTGGTTAGGGTCGTTCTTATCCATTCTCATGTCGAACAGCTTGGTTAGGGCCATTCTTTTCCATTCTCAAGTCGAACAGCCTGATTAGGGCCATTCTTTTCTGTTCTCAAGTCGAACAGCCTGGTTAGGGTCATTCCTTTCCATTCTCAATGTTAGTGCCCGAGGAGGTGGGCCTCGAGGTTACGGATCCCATTTCTGTCTTGGAGGTTAGAAGGCGGCTATCTTATCTCAGTTTTGTTTTGCATACTGTTCCCTTTTTTCTCTCAAAAACGTACTATCCATGCGTACATCCGACTTAGTGTCTAGTACTCGAGTTGGGGCTCGCGACCCCAAGCAGCACTAGCCCACCCGACCGTTCATCCATAACAAAAGACAAAGGCGCCCCTTCCATTCTCACTCTTCCTGATCACTCAGGTTTCGACCATTCTCAGTCTCATTCATGACTCAGTTGGATTAGGCTCTTAGGGAAGGAGTGTTCTTCACGCCCCTTAACCCATAGGTTCCCTAACCTCTCTTGTACTCGACCAATCATTCAATGCCATGGTTCGCTCGTCAATCCGTACTCAAGGTTTTCCCCTCTCAAAAGCATAATCTTTATTCCATCCAGAATTCACAATACACCCTCTCCCAACTGGTCTCATCCCAAATCCCATGTCTTTGTCTTACGTACCCAAGGTAGCTCATCCAAAAAGTAGCCTAAAAAACTATCTTCTATCTTATCGTGACACAGCCTTAGCTGACCCTCTTTTCACTTCATCCTTAGCAAGCTTGCCCATACTGTACACGTTCTCGTCATTTTCATGTCTCCGCAGACAGAAAAGCAGCGATCATTTTCAATGCTAAGTCAACACCTAGTTCCTATTGCTGCCTTGCGCCTCGTCTTGCCCAGTCCCTTGTCCACCCCGTTCCTCGGCAAACTTTCTAACCCCCAGGCCGTAGGTCTCGATTTCTCTTTTCATCCTTACTTCTGTAACTCTGCCTCGTTGAAAAAATCCAGTGGTGTGGGTTCCACCCCTGCCCTTGCAAGTTCCCGAGTGTTGATAATCCATTCGTGTCTGATCACATTGGTCCATTGCTGAAACCAATGACTGGGCGTCGGCCCAAACTCGTCCTCCCATCTGAAAGCCCCGTCGCCCGGCTGGTGCATCGGAGGCCGCCCCTCTTCCTTAGGCCTCGAGATCTCATCCCTCTCATCCCCGCTCCTGATTTCTATGACTTCTCGCACATCCTCCTTCTCGTCCTTCTCGTCTTCTGTCTGTATGGGGCTATACCCACCTGCAAGGTTCTTTGGATCGTAGGTAAAAGGAATCCCTGTCCCCGTCTCATACCCCTCGCAACTGTCGTGGTCGCTTCGTCCTTCAAGCGGGCTCTCCCTTCTTTCCTCACCCTCCTCATAATCGTCGCGCATGTTTTGTCCCCCCTCGCTTTCCTCATGCCAAGTCTCACGTCGCTTGCCCCTGTTGACTCCTTCCTCGTCAGAGACCTGAACCTTATTTCCCATCTCTGCATTGCCTCCTTCCTCCACTTCTGCCTTTTTCTTCCCTCCCTCACTATCAGAAGAGATTTCTATACCTTCTCCCTCGCGGAGGGGTGAGGGTTTCCTACACAAGCATTTCCTTTCTCCCCTGCCTACCACTGGGCCACCCATGAGTCCTATATACAACTTTCTCTTTGCCGCTCTCCTCCCTTGGCTTGGTCCTGCTCCCTCCCCTCCGGCAGGTCTGTTGATTGCTCCGCTGTCATTTTCGTCACCGAACTCCATCTCCTCTTTTCTTGTAGACCCTGTATAACAAAACAACACCCGCAAGCCCCTCATGCACCCATTCCCCCAGTCTGGTAGGTAGTCCCCCCCCTTTTTCCCAGAATGCTCCCAGCATCCTTCGCGGCATGCCCCTATTATACATGTGAATGCGTCGTTTGTGATGACCCCGTCAAAACTATGGTACAATGCCCTAGACATCCCTTCCCGTTGTCACACAAGCCAGATATTGCAAACCCCCAAATCATGCTGCCTTTCAACCTCAGTCAGTCCAAGCCAAAGCGCTAGTCCCAAAAAAAATGATAGTCCCATGAACATGGTCAGAGACAAACCATAGTGTGGGCAAGGTTGTGGTCAGTCTTTAGCTTGTGGCTCCTCAGTTTCCTTATCTTCGGCCTCCTGAACCCATTGTTCCACTGGGCCCCGACTTAGAAACCTGACCAATCGTTGCCCCGGGAAGGGCCCTTTCAATCCAGTTTCATCCAAATCTTCCAGTTCGAAGGTGTTCAGTCCCACCCGCTTGGCGACCCGGTAGGGGCCTTTGAACCTCCTTCCCAACTGTCCCGACCAAGTACTTTCTAGTGTCGATTTCCTTAGCAATACCATCTCCCCCACTTGAAGTGGCTCCTTTCTGACATTCTTAACCTATTCCCACCTGTCTAGTACCTCCTTCCCAGCTGTCCCTCATTCTGCTGTCTAGTACCCGGTTGGCGATGTCATCCATGACCTCCTCATTCTTAAGGATTTGTTGACATCTTGCCTCGATTAACTTTTCAGTGGTCATTTGCGGATCATCATCTAACCTATTCCAGGTAGGCACCAAGGCTTCCACAAGAAAGTCGATATCTCTTCCGTACCAAAGTTCTGCCAGGATACATCCTGTTGTCCTTTAAGGGGTCATATTCTCTGCAAAGACCGCCTGCTTAAGATACCCAGGCCAGTTCCCCAGATGGTCCGCTGCGAGCTTTGCAATCGTGATCTTCAAGGTTCAGTGCCCCCTTTCCACAGGTGTATTGGCCTCAGGGTGATACGGCTCGATGAGTTTGATCGGTATGCAGAGTCTCTTAAGCATCCCCAATACTTCTTGGTTCACAAACTCCGTCCCATTGTCTGCTATAAACCTTCTGATGAACGGATGCCTTAAGTAGAAGTCTTCTATCCAATCCGCAACACTCCTCCCTGTCTTTTTTTTTAGGGCGACTGCCTCCACGAACCCACTCAGGTTGTCTCGCGCATCTAGGATGTACCTGTACCCATCCGTTGATACGGGCATGACCGCAAGGTCGAGGTAGACCTGATGTCCTGGTCCTAGCACCCGCTTTGGTCTAAGCAGCTCGAAGACCCGCACCGAGCTTCGTTCTTGGCAAATAAGGCAAGTCTGGCAGTATATGGCGACCATGCCTGCCATGCCTGGCCAATAATAGAGTGGCGTCATCTTTGCAAGCATTCCTTTGGACGACCGATGACCTCCAGCCAACCCATCGTGCATTGCTTGGATAACATCTACTTGCCTAGACCTTCCGCACACAACCCTTCTGGGCATAGCACCTTCCTCCCTTCGGAACAAATGCCCGCCCCTTAGGACGTACCTTTCGTCTTCTTCTCTTTCTTTAATACTGACTTCCGTACGTTATTTGTTTCCTACCAATAACAGCCCGATCTCCCGAAAGAGTCCTTCGTATGATTGGACATAGAAAAACTCCTCACCTTCCTTGCCCCCATCCTTTCCTTCCTGCATCTGGTTTAACAACCATTGCAACTCTTTCCTTTCCCAAGATTCCACGAAGCTCATCACTGCTTCCCGGCCTCCCTCGACCGCCATTGCTATTAGTTCCTCTCTCGGTCCTACTATCGCTCCTCATGAGTCTTTTTCTTCTCTGCGTCCTCGAGTGGTGACTGGTCCTTCTCTAAGTTCAGCTACTATGGCAGGTGCCCCCTTCTCCAAAGTTTGGATCAATAGTTCTCCCAATGTGCATTCCTCGCTCATCATTTCATTATCCACCGCGAGAGTCTCTCCTTCATATTCGAGGAATGCGTCTATGGGTTCCGCATCCTCCATCCCTTCGGGAGTGATGCAAACCTGACTCAGCCCATCTGCCTTGTTGCGAATTCCAGCAATCCGTTCGATCTTGTAATCGAACTGCCAGATGAATCCTACCCATCTCCTTACCGTCGGATCTATAGGCCTGTAATTCTTTAGAGTCCCTTTGACATTCGTCGGATCGATCCTTAAGATGAACCGCCTCCCAAATAGGTAGGCCTGGAAGGTCTTAAGGCAATGCAGGATGGCTAGGACTTCCTTCTTGAATTGCGAGTACCGCCGTTCTGCGGAGTTCAAGGTTCTACTCTCGAACCTAATCGGCCTCTTTTTTCCTCCCTCATCCCTTTGAATCAACACACCTCCTACGGCCAAAGGTCCTCCATCCGTCTCTAGGATGAAGGGTCGTCCCACTTCGTCATTAAAACAAGGTGCGGACAGGGCGATTGTCTCAGATGTCAATATGTCCTTGAGCCTTTGGACAGCTTCTTCTCGCTCCTCCGTCGAATCCATGGTTCCTTCTTCCCTGATCATAGACTCGAGAGGCTCAACAATCTTGGCAAAGTTCTTAATGAAGATCCTCCAAAACCGACTACGCCTAAGAATGCCCTTACCTCCGTCGTCGTGCGCAGCGGTGTCGGCCACTGTTATATCTTTTCGGTTTTTGTCGGATCTGACTTCCTGCCGTAAGCACCGCAACGAAATCCTAGTATAGTTACCTCCGGTACTGCTATAATACTCTTCACTCCACTAGCCGTAATGTTGTATACTAGGAACCGGCGGAGTAAGTCCTCGATGTCCTGCAGGTGGTCCCACACAAAAAGTCGGATCCCTGGTTGGACTTGCGTCTCGTCCTTCTCCTGCGCGCCTTTGATCGGATTGTCATCGATGTAAGGCTCACATTTTTCTGGGAACATGTCCCCGGCCACGGCGAGCATCCTGCGTTGCGCTTCGGCCACCACGTTTGTGAATCCCATAGGGGTCACTTGCATCTGTAGTTGGCCTACGGGGGTGTGCATAGCGGTGTATGGTCTGTCCCAAACATCCAACGGAAGCTGGTCGTACCCTGAGTACAGATCTATCAGGAAGTAAATGCTCCGCCCGGCGTATGATTCCGCTAATAAGTCAGCCTGAGGTAGCGAGCCAGCATCCCGGATGGTTACCGCATTCAACTTCTGCAGGTCCTGAATCCGCCTTAGTGTCTTGTTATGCTTCCGAAAGACGAACCACCGATTTGCGTATGGCGATGCCGTAGGCTCCGCAACGAAGGAGTCCATCTTTGCTCGGAGGAGGTCTGTTACTTCTCCTACTATCCCAAATTCATAGGATGGCCCCTTGTCATTCCAGCACTCATGTTCTACCGTGTGGATTCTGACCGGAGGGATCAACTTCGCATTCAGCCGTCCCTTCTGGTGATCACTAAAGGCAAATGCCAGGTGAAACTTTTGGCAGGTGCTTTTGATCAGGCGGGTTTCTTCTTCCGTTAAGAACCCGTCTATCCCTATCTTCATTGTGTCAGCTACCTCATCTGGTATCCGACGTCCCTCCATCGCCGTTCTTTCTCGGATCACTCGAAGGACCTCTTCCTCCTTCTCCATAGCCTCTTCCTTTGATGTCTCTAGCAGGATCGAGACCGGTTTTGCTTTCTTCCCTACCGGCTTGTACTTTTGAACACTTCCTTCCATGATCTTTCTCCTAAAAAATGAACACTCAGAATTGCCCCCGTCGCCTCTACGACTCGTGGTCGAATACTAACTAGTTTTCCATTCAGGTAATATCCCTTTTGCACCTCTCTTTCGAACTTGGCCAAGGCAGTCGAATCCACTCTAACCTTATGGTATCTGAGGGCCTTGATGAGTTGTAATAGATCGGGGATCTCGAGTGCGATTTCTGACACGTCTATGTGTACTTCTTTCCGTTCGGGCAAGGCTAGCACCAAGTTCGACCTCTGACTCCTTTTCCGCTACCATAACACCTAGGACTTCGTCCTCCTGCTTCTTCTTCTGGGGCAGGCCCATCTTGATCCACTCCTTCTTGTTGAATGCTTCCTCAATCATGATTTCTACCCTTTCTCTCATACCCTCCATTCGTGCGAAAGCCCCCTTTCGCGTGCTATCCTCGAACGACGGCGACCAAGTTGCCAATTTTCCCTTTGGGGGGTCTCCTCCCGTTCCAAGGAGTCAGAGGAGCTCTCCCCGGCCGGTCACAGGGTCCTCTATGTCTACCATGTATGAGCCATCGTGCAAGTGAATGCCAATCATCTCCACGTTCGCGCACCACGGTCTCCCAAGGATTATGTCGTGGTCCATCTCCTCCATTACGGTCATCCGCTGAAACGACCAGATCGACGAAGTAAAAGATCTGGAACATGAACTTGACAATCAGAGACTAGACTAATGGAAAGCATATGCACAATGAGTAGAGATCAACAAGGAAAAGATCCGGAACATGAACTAGACAATGAAGGATTAGAGTAGTGGAAAGCACATGCACAAAGAGAAGAGACTAACTAAGTAAAGATCCGGAACATGAACTTTGACAAAGAGAGGCTAAACTAGTGGAAGCACATGCACAAGGAGAAGTGATCAATAAGGTGAGGATCCGGAACACCACATCAAACATAATCTTGACAATGAGAGACTAGACTAGTGGAAAGTACATGCACAAGGGGAAGAGACTAGCTAAGGAAAGGTCCAGAACATGAACTTGACAATGGGAGACTAGACTAGTGGAAGCACATGCACAAAGGAGAAGAGCTCAACTAAGTAAAAGATCTGGAACATGAACTTGACAATGGGAGACTAGACTAATGGAAAGCACATGCACAAGGGGTAGAGATCAACAAGGTAAAGATCCGGAATATGAACTTGACAAAAGGAGACTAGACTAATGAAAAACACATGCACAATGAATACATATCAACAAGGTAAAGATCCGGAACATGAACTTAACAATGGGAGACTAGACTAATGGAAAGCACACGCACAATGATTACAGATCAACAAGGTAAAGATCCGGAACATGAACTTGACAATGGGAAACTAGACTAATGGAAAACACATGCACAAGCGGTAGAGATCAACAAGGAAAAGATCCAGAATATGAACTTGACAATTAGGGACTAGACTAGTGGGAGCACATGCACAAAGGAGAAGAGTTCAACAAAGTAAAAGATCCGGAACATGAACTTGA